CGGGATTCCCCTTCTGGATTATGAGATATCGAGATATTATTATTATATTATTATTATTATTATTATCCCCAGTATGTTGGCTAGTACAATCCCCGAACTCATCATCAACCAAGCAGGGTTCAAACACTGCTCAAGTGGTGCCCTTTGGTGGAGCCAATCTTACAATTGAAATTACTTTCTTCGAGTGATCCCTGCCCTGGCACACCATTCTGATGTAGTTTCTGACGTAGTTTCTGACATACCATCTAAAGTACTTCTGACATCTTCTGACATTCTTTCCGGATCTTTCTGGCATCTATTCTGACATTCTTTGCGGCAATCATTCTGGCATTCTATTTGACATATATATCTTGCAATCTTTCTGTCAGTCTCTCTGGCATATATGCTGGCATTCTGTCTGGCATCCTCTCTGGCATGAGTTCGAGGGTCCAGCCACGCTCCACAGCCTCCTGAGCTGGCAATATGATGTGCGGGTCCAGGCAAGGCCCACTGCATCCGGAGCTGTCAAAGGAGGAGGCGAGGAAGAGGAGGAAGAAGAAGAAGAGAAGTGGCACCTTTGTTAAAATCTAAAGACCCTTACCCGGCAAAAGGGAAAAAAACGCAACATATGTAACATATATGATGCCGTGTGTGATAGTAATACCACCAAACATGCTCGGCATCACAAAAATCATCACCATAACTACCCTCACTATCGCCAACAGTATCACCATCATCATACCATCGGAATTCCCACCAGCATCTTCATCTTGCCGCGAAAGAAAGGGTGTTGGAAGAAAATTGGATGTAGGTGGTCCGGTGGTGGTTCATCAACAGATCATCCTATCATCGGGCATCCATTGAATCCATTGGTAACAAAAACCCATCCTCCATCCCGTGACCATGCACTGAGACTCCCAGCACTTGCAGGGACACACCAGCACATGCCTCAGGTGCTGCATCATTTTGTTGTTGAGCTGCCATCATTACACCACCATGGTGCCCCACTCCAAGGCTCCAAGGGTCCAGCCAAACTGCTGAGCCGTTCTCCAAGAAGGCCTTGGAAGCACTCGGATCTGTGGGTTTTGGCTGACTCCGCTCCGGGGCCCAAACTACGCCATTCAGAAGGAGACAGGCTCTCAAAGTAGCATCCTTTGGCCTCAGATACGCGAAGCAAGCGCCATCTGCTCATAGCTGCAAGGAGTTGACAAGCCTTCATCTCCACCTGTCCTTTGGCTCCGGTTTTTTCCCACTTTTCCCTGTACATTGGCCAAACATGGCCAAATGACACAGCTTGCACTACTTGGTTCCCTTGGCTAGGAGAAGAATAGGCTGAGAACGCGTCCGATGAAGGTTGGTCTTTCCAGCTTTGCCCTTGGCTCTGCCTGAGCACATTCAACGGCCTACTAACCCACAGTTCAAGAAGCTATGCAAGCACGAACTGGCCAAACCCCCCAAAACTTTAGCTTGGCAAGGCCCCACTAGGATTCCCCAAGACTAAGATTATTACCCATGCAACACATCCACAATACCAAAGGAAGGGAGTGGGACAAAAAACGCAACCCAGCGGCTGCCCAAGCTTGTGTCGAAATTTGCCCTCTGAGACTTCTACCCGGCGGAAACAGCGCCATTCGGAGTTCTCTGATCCTGTATGCAACCGAGAACCCCCACAAATCAAAAGGGAAGACCATGATCCAACGCAGCAGAGGTGATCTCATTGAGACGTGGCGCAAAAACTGGGCTTCCCACAGGTCATTCAAGTCCTGTTCTCAGAATGTTTGGCTCAGAGACATTGAATCCACAGTCTAGTGCCTACTACAGGTTCACCACACGCAGTGCACATAAAGCTGCATAGATATCATAGATCTGTAATCAAAAATTCTATGTTTCATAATATACATGCGACCCCCCGACCTAGTGATGCTGTTCATGACGCACTTTCTCAGACACCACTTTTCTTGAATTTTCCAACTACCAAGTTAGCTTAGAAATGGCTTTTGGTCAAGGCCCTGGTACTGGATGTTCATCCTCCCGAAATTTGCTGCTTCAATGCATTTCAATGTGTTGCGATGTATTTCAAGCGTTTTTTTTTAAAGGTATTTTCAATGTTGATCCCCAATTAAGGTATTTCCAGGGCATAGCCAATGTATTTCGACTTACTGGTGCTTGGCAGGGAATGAGGGAATGATCCACAATAATCACAATAACTATCTTGTCATCCAATTTGAACATGTCATTGCGGCATAGCATTGGGATTCATTCTGAAGGCATTTTTAGCGCGAAGTGGACAAAAAGGTGTCCGAACCCAACAAGGGTTATGAGCCCAACCTTCGGCTACTGCTGTGTGGCTTAGCTATGGAGTTTGGGTGCAGATCGCAATCAGTGCCTAGTGGGGTTCGAAATAATGGTGGGAATCCATTTTACTCCCAACGGGTACAACAAGAATGCCTCCTTCAAGCTGCAAGACCAAGGGATCTTCCAGATGATGCTACTAGCAATGGTTTTCCCCTTCAAGATAGCTCTGGGTTGACTGAAGCTTCTAGAAAAACCTCTGATATGCCAACTGGGAAGGGTCGCGGCAGTCAAACGGCCGGCATGATGCCAATGACTGGACCTACAGGTTTTGGCCAGGGTGCTCTGAAAACGGAAGGTCGTCTGCCTATAGGGATGAGAAGATGGAAGCTGGAGCTGCATCGGCGGCATCTGCAAAAGGAGAGGAACCTGTGGGTGAGTTGCAGCGAGCTCTTGAAATTGAAGTAGTCGGGATGTTACGCAAAGAAAATTCGAAATTGGTTCAAGAAGTTGAATACCTCAGGGCTCAACTGATGAAACAATCTACTGCTGGAAATGTGGATTCTGGTTTGGGGTCTTCACCATGGTCGGCTGTTGAACATGTGGAATCGATTCAGAGCTCTGGGTCGAATGGTGTTCAGAATGGGCGCATGGGGAGGTCTGGCAGTAGGACTCCAAGAAACAAGAAACGTGATGTGGCGGTTAGCCCTGAAAAACATCAGAATCGATTCACTCCCAATGGCACACGTGTTCCTGATGGGCCACCTCCTGTGAGTAGCGATGAAATCCAAAGACCTCCTGTACCACCTTTTCCAAACATGGCTGATGAACATGGTGATGAGGGTCGCATACAAGGATGTTCTAGCTTTGTGAGTGGACTGTATGACACGTGTGAATCCAAACCAAATGGAAGGGGACATGGTGAACGATATGATGCGGGTGTTCCTTCAGCTAGTGAAGCCAAACAACTATGGTTGGAGAGGGAAGTCAAATCGTTGAAAGATGCTCTTGATCGTGTGGCAGTTCCCCAAGTTTTGCAACAATCTGAGTATTGGTCAAAGGGGTGTGATGATGTAGCCCAAACCAATCCTCGGGGTCCATCGGCTGTTCCTGTCACTGGCATTGCGCATTGTCATGAAGTTCGGAACTCGCTTGGTGGTGCAGAACGTCTTCACGATCGGGCTGAGCATGGCACTTTGCATGGAGAAGCTCAACGGAATTTGCTTGGTGGATGTGATCTAGATGCTCTTCAAGGTCGGGCTCAGCAGGTCTCTGGCAGTGCTCCTGAAGTTTGTCAAGGAGGTCGGGCTGAGCATGCGGCGCTGAGCGGTGCTTCTGTTCTACATCAACAAGGTCGGGCTCAGCAGGTCTTCAACGGCGTTCCTGAAGTATGTCAAGGAGGTCGGGCTGAGCATGTGGCGCCGAGCAGTGCTTCTCTTCTACCCCAACAAGATCGGGCTCAGCAGCTTCTCAGCGGCGCTTCTGAAGTTTGTCATGGAGGTCGGGCTTGCAGTGGGGCTGAGTCTCAACAGCATGGAAGAGGTCTTTGGGATCCTCATGGAGAAAGGCAAGGTCAAGGGAGATCTACGTATGGGCCAATGCATGGAGCTTGGAATGATGTCGGAGGAGGTGGGTCGGCAGGATCAAAAGCTGAGCTACCAGATCTGCCCTCTACGGCAACGCCATTGGAGTTTGGTGACTGGCTTCATCTTTGTGGTCCCATTATGAAGGATTTGTCCAACTTAGCTGCGCGATGGTGGTTTCTCACGATGACCCAGGCACAGTGCTACTACAATGAATGGAAACAAGCCACTCCTTTGCAGCGGGTGCAAATCAGTCCGAGGTTGCCAGAAGAATTGCATGATCCAGTGTTTGCAAGAACCGAGCAGCGTGGTGTACATCTTCTTCTGAAAGCAGTCAGCGCAGACCAACAACAAGAACTTGTGGTTGACCGGGACCTGAACTCAACAGCGATACTGTATCGCTTGCACATCCGTCATCAACCAGGAGGATCAGGCGAAAAGGCTATCTTGCTCAAGAACTTGACGGTGATCCCTTCATGCAAGACGGCATCTGAATGGACAACAGCTTTGCGCAGTTGGCGCAGACACTATGGCCGAGCGCAGGAGATTGGTGCGATCATTCCTGATGGGTGTCTTCTCATCAAAGCCCTCGAGCCGATGGTGCAGTTCTTGGCGAAGGAGGATTCACAAGCAGCCTTTCGTTTGGCCCAAAGTCGAGCTCAACTACAAGTGGATGAAAGACCTGATCATGTCAACATCTGGCACTACTCACAATGCTTGTTGGCCGAGAGCGAGACGTTGACATTGTTCGGAGTTTCAACAAAGACCTCATCAAGTACCAGCTCTCCAATCAAGATCAAACAGCTTGACATCCCAGACAGCTCAAAATCGGTCATCAAGGAGGACAAGCAGAAGGGCAAGGGCATCTCAACCATCAACAAGCCCTAACGTTACTTCACCTCAGATGCCGGATGTCGAGCTGCAAAGTCATGCAAATGGGTGCACTCATGGGACAATGTTGAGGACAAGAACAACCGGTGCTGGAACTGCGGCTCAAAAGAGCACAGGAAATCAGATTGCCCAGCAAAGGGCGGCGGAGGAAAAACTTCAAAGCCTGGTGACCCTAGCGGCTCAGGGGGAGATGGTGGTGGTGGATCCAACTCAACTCCTACAAAAAATGCGACCTCTACGACAACTCCAACCAAGGCGGTTACCCCAAAGATCAATGAGATGGAGGTGGATCTACAGGGGGAAGTGCAGGTGATGTTCTTCTTCAAGAAGCCACAAAGTTGCTGAAGTCGCTCCGTATACCACAGGTGAGGGTTGTGAGGGTCTCTCAAATGAATGTGGAAGATGGAAAAGATTGGGTCCTGCTTGACTCTGGGGCAACACACAGTTTGAGGCCGGCAACAAGTGATATCGAGTGGCAATCAGCTGAAGTCACCGAGGTGCATCTTGCGGATGGTGTCACTCAGAGCTTGCGGTTGAAACCTGGGACACGGTGTTTGCTTTCAAGCCCCCAGGATGAGAACTTCAAATCATGGATTTTGCCGTTGGGTGGCCTCGCTGACATGGGATACAGGTTTGAATGGCCGGGTCAATCGTCATGCACACTTCATGATCCAGCTGGAGACGGTGTTGAAGTTCGAGTTCATCAAGGTTGTCCAATGGTCAGCAAAGACGATGGAGCAGCACTGATGATGAGATTGGAAAGCTTCTACATGCGAATGGTGCAGCGGTGGACGGTCTTGAGCATGATAAAGCAAGATCCCAAGATGCTGACCAACAAGTTGGACGTGGAGATGGCTCTGAATGTCAAGATGATGGAACTCTGGCCTTCACTACCTCAGGAGATTGCAATGAGGCTGGTGCCCAACATGGCTGATGTGACGTGTGAACCACGGAGTCTTCCGTGGAATCGTGCAAAGAGAAAAAGGTTGCGCAAGGCCAAGAACATCGTCATGCACTTCTACTCCGGCCCCAATGGAAAGTTTTGGGAGAAGGAGCTGAGCACCAAAGACACTGAAGTCCTGTGCATTGACATTCTGTCAACATGCAAAGCTGATGTCATGGATGACAAAATCTACAAGTATCTACTGATGCTGGCATCTACTGGCAAAGTCCGAGAAGTACTTGGTGGCCCGCCTTGTCGCACGGTGAGTGCACTGCGGTTTCAATGTGATGGTGGCCCTGGCATCATTCGAACAGAAGCTGACCCATATGGTGCGCCTGGAATTTCACCTGAAGAGCAAGCACTGGTGACAAAGGATGCACTGTTGTTTTTGCGCATGCTGTTCGTCTACGCCATCTGCGAAGATGTGAGGCCACCTGAAGCACCAACCACTGGTCTTACGTTGGAACAACCAGAAGATCCAGCACGATATCGAAACCATCAAGAAGTTGCTGCGAAGGGATTCATGAGTGTGTGGAGGACTCCTGAATGGCAACAGTTTCAACAGCGATTTGATGTGGTGATGGTTCACTTTGATCAGGGCCAAACAGGCCACAAAAAACGAAAGCCGACAACACTGGCTTTGGTGGGGCAGGAGCTCACTCAGTTGGATGGTCTTCGATGTGAGGTCAGCTTTGACATGGGCGGGGATGATGGGCGCAAAAGCATGACTATGGCTGAAAAGTGCGCTGAATCTCGAACATGGGCAGAGTGGTCTCAGGGCTTGAAAGCAGCCATTGTGGTGGCGTTGCGGCAACGACTTCAAGACCAACATCTTCGACAGCTACTGAGTGATCCACCTTCTCAAGTTCGACAAGAACCTGATTCCGTGCAACCTGAGCAACAAGTTCCAAAACTAAAACCATTGGGAGCAGCAGCACTACAGAAGTGGAAAGACCACTACCTGAATGACCACATGCCTGCCCGACGAGATTGTCAGCACTGCGTACGTTCTCAAGCCCGTGGCAAGCCTCACAGACGGATTCTTCATCCTGAGGCCTACACGTTGGCAGTGGACTTGAGTGGAAAACTATCCCCTGGAATCAATCAAGAACGCAGGCACTGCAGCTACATGATGGTGGCGGTCTACACGTTTCCGGTCACCAAGCAAGGCCGATCCCTTCTTGCAGACGATCAACAAGATCACCCACTTCCTGATCCAGATGCTTTCCCGGGGGAGGATGAAGTCATTGATGACGATCAACAAGAAGATCCACTCCAGGAAAGCGAGGATGAGGAAATATGTGGAGAAGGTGAAGATGGAGGCCACTTGGCGGAAGCTGCAACGAATGGATGTCTGGATGCATGGAACAAGTTGGTGGAAGAGTCAAAGAATGTGGCAGTGAAGAATGTCACAATGGTTGAGGTGGTGGAAAGCAGAAACGCCCACCACATCTTGCCAGCAATAGCTCGCATCTACAGTCGACTTCGACAGCTTGGTCTCCCAGTGATGCGTCTGCATAGCGACAGGGCCAGAGAATTTACCTCACTGCCAGTGCGAAGATGGGCACAAGCCAGGGACATTGTGATCACAAAAACCAGTGGGGATAACTATAAGGCCAACGGAAGATGCGAATGTGCCCTTGGTCAAATAAAGCGAGCTACAAGGACGGTTTTGTCCGCGGGGGGTCACAACGTGAATTGGTGGCCACTGGCAGCAAAGCATGTGGGCGAGAGAAAGCTGCGTTCTCAACTACGAGCACTTGGCTATCCAGTTGGTGATTTGCTGCAGTTTGGATCTCAGGCCTACGCACTGCGAAAATGGTGGCATCATCGATATGAGCAATGGCGGGACATTAGGGAGCCAGTCGTTGTCTTGGGCCCAAACGCTTGCAGCACTCTGAGCACTACAAACTACTTTGTGCAAGCAGTTGAATCTGGGCGCTACTTCTTCACTGATGATGTCATCGTGCCAAACTTTGAGGCCAATGCGGATGTTCTTCAAGATCAACAACAAGATGATCCACATGCTGCAGCAGAAGCAGCTCCGCTACCAGATCCCCATGGTGCCCCTGACATCTACTTGCCAGAGCGTGATGAGCAATCCAGACCAAGTGGCGCTGGCATGGCACCATCACGAAGGTTGAGACAAAAGACGGCACCGGCGATGTTACATCGTCTGTCAATGGAAACCATTGAGGGGGAGAGGCAGGGTAATGCGGAGATGGATGGGAACAGTTGTGCAAATCGTTTTGAAAATCTTGGACGGGTATCTATTTCATCCTCAGAAAGAGACAGCGATGAAAGCAGCTGGACATTGGAAACCTTGCAATCTTCTGTGTACTCAACATCGGGGTCATCGGAGGAGGAGGATCTCAGTGGTGGGGATGGGATGTGGAGGGGGCGCCTAAGAGCTGGTGCGGTGGCTCAAGCCCAGCCGCCTCAAATAGCAAAGAAGGTTTCCTGAGAAAGATGCATGGCAACTTGTCCGAGCTGGTGAACGAAGAGATGAGCATGGTGGATGCAACAACAGCTGATCAAGCATGGTGGTTGCCAGTTTTGTCAGAGGTGCTGGTCAAAAAGGTTGCGGTTGAGGAGGAACTTCATCAACTTGAGCAGCACAAAGAGGAGGCAGCAACAAAGGCCATAGAAAACCAGTTCTTGGTCACGAAAACGGTGAGTAACAAGGAGGTATGGGAATCTTTGGCCGACTGGGAGCCTTCAATCAGAGCTGAATATGATCAGTTGGTTCATCAGAAAAAGGCTGTCATCCAAATGTCTCAACAACAACTGCGAGAGAGGGCAGCCAAAGCTGGGGTAGAAATAGAATTACTCCCTGGAAAGATGGTCCATACCCGAAAGGCACAGTCTGGGGCTTATCGTAGCAGGGCAGTTATTTGTGGAAACTATGCAACAGCGACGGAGCAGGATGTCTATGCTGGAGGCACTGATGGCACTCAGGTGCGTACGGCCCTGAAAACTGCTGCGATGTTCAACTGGCGGGTGATGGGGACTGATATCCGAACAGCCTTTTTGAATGCCAAAAGGAGGGATGAAACAAAGTTGGTGGCCATGTCAATCCCCACGGTCTTCAAGAAGTTGAACCTGGCCAAGGATTCTGATGTGTGGCTGGTAGAAATGGCCCTGTATGGGTTGACAACGAGTCCAAAGGACTGGGGGATTTGTAGAGATACAACTCTACCACAACTGTCTTGGAAGCGCATCAACAAGGATGGGATAGAAGTCACTGGTCGGTTTTAAGAACTCAAGATGACAATTTGTGGCGCTTGATGGAAACTGGTCCTGACCTTGAACAACGTTGGTGTGGATTGCTTTGCGTCTATGTTGATGATCTTCTTTTCTGCGGTGAGGAGGAGGTGTTGTGCCAAGCTTTGAAAGCGGTAGAAGCAACATAGTCTTGTGCGGCTGCGGAGTGGGCCACGGAAACTACACCTTTGAAGTTTTGCGGAATGGAAATCACCATGGATAGCGCTGGCAATGGGCTTCACCTCGCTCAAAAGGGGTACGAAAAGGAGTTGCTGGAAAGATGGAAGGTCACCGGCAAGTCAGATTTTCCAATGTTCAAGCTCTCAGAGTCTGACTTTGAGGCGGTGGAGGTAGCGGATGTGGCAGTTTTGAAAGAAGCTCAGGCCTTAGCAGGTGGACTGTTATGGCTGTCTACGAAGACGAGGCCGGATTTGGCCTATGGAGTGGCAACCATGAGTAGGCTTATGACAAGAAATGCACAAAAGGCCTTAGAAGTTGGTCAAGCACTCCTCAAGTACATCAGCTCAAACCCTGGAGATCTTCACTACTTCAGGGACTTGCCCAATGATGGATGGGGCGAGAGGGGCCAATTGAAGATCCAAAGGAACCATCGAAGCATCGAGATCTTCTCTGACATCTCCTATGCTGCGGGGACCTCACATCGCAGCATACAAGGGGTGGCGGTGTTTTTTGGTGGAAGCCCCATAGCTTGGCAGAGCTCTCAACAGGCTTTTGCAACACATAGCACTGCGGAATCAGAGCTGGTGGCATATTGTGAAAGTTTGTTGATTGGAAGGGCAACGGAAGCTTTGCTATGTGCGATGTGGGGGGAGCCTTTGGACAATAACCCATTCACCCGTGTGATTTACGGGGACAACATGGCGGCGATCGGCCTTGCACATGGCAACACATGCTCATCGTGGAGGACCAGACATTTGAGGATCAGAGCGTCGATCCTTAAAGAGGCCATGGAGGAGTCATGCTCAGTTCCCGGGGGAGTTTGGCGATTAGTCCATTTGAAAGGCTCTGAACTTGTGGCTGATGGCCTCACAAAGCAACTTTTGGGCCAAAGTTTTGATCGTTTTTGCGAAGACCTTGGGCTTTGCAAGCAGCTTGCTGACAAGCCAGTGGAGAAAGAGAAAGCGGTGACAACATCAACTACGATGGCAACAGGTGTGGCTGTCAAGGTCTTGACAGTGGGTAGCGTGTTGATGCAGCATGCGAAAGCGATGTCAAATGCAACTGCAGTCGGTGATGAAGATCTGACGGCGCTATGGACGACTGGCATAATCCTGATGGTGATGGGAGCAATCTACGTGATGCAGCTGATGGCCAAAGGTGTTCATTGCTGTATGAGAAGATTGTGGGCATCGGGCAGCCAAGTCCGTAGTGAAGCGTTGGCTAGCACTTCAACGACTGTGGGGTATGAAACATCAGAAGAAGAAATGTCAGCTGGATTCAGTGAAATCTCTGCTCAACATTTGCGAAGACGAGTTTTCGGAGAGGAAGCTGGTGATAGCGAGACACAAAGAATGAGGACACAATCGGGCTCGCATGGAGCATCTTCGAGCATGGATGTGTCTGCGACTATGACTTTGCAGAGCATGCCACGATCGGGCTCTGCAGCATCTATGACTTTGCAGAGCACACCACAGTCGGGCTCTGCAGCATCTTTGACTTTGCGGAGCGTGCCACACTCGGGCTTTCAAGCATCTACATCGAACCAAAGCACTTCACAGTCGGGCTCCCAAGAGCAGAGCACTTCAACATTGGGTATGACTCGACGATCGGGCGTAGCATTGGCAGCTGAGTCCAGTAGTGCAGCGATTGGAGGTGAGATGTCAGAGCCTCGTAGTGTAGGAAGGGTTGTTTCAACTGCGGCATCGTCTTATAATCCATGGAATGAGTTTCAGCGTGCCAACCGAGACAAGGGTTGGGGATCCGAAAAGATGAGAGCAGAATATTATAAGATGAAGAGCCGCAGAAACACATAGAATGCCTTGGGCCTATCGAACATTTTGGCCGAATTTTGGCTGGTGAACAGCTGTAAGTTTCTTGGATTTTTGCTTCTCCAATTTTTGTCATGCTGACAAAGGGGGAGCTTGTCATCCAATTTGAACATGTCATTGCGGCATAGCATTGGGATTCATTCTGAAGGCATTTTTAGCGCGAAGTGGACAAAAAGGTGTCCGAACCCAACAAGACTATCAATAATCATCCCATTCCCCCAGCAACCCATCCATTCCCTACGTTTAGCACCAGTAAGTCGATACCCAATTGAAATAGCTTACCCTCTGGTAAACTAACATAGCTATGGAAAATCACCATTTTTAATGGGAAAATCAACTATAAATGACCATTTTCAATAGCTATTTTGACATAACCAGAGGGTAAGATTTCGATCCCCAAACCAGTCCTGCAATGGCCCTTGCAAAAACCGCGCTTTCCTTCCAGGATGGCCAAGGAGACTCTTCGCCAGCCGAGCCGTCACATCAGGGTCAGCTCCAGCCACCTTACCATCTCGACTTTGGAACCTAGATCCATCAAGATCCTATATAAACCTATAATAAGTCTATAAGATCTGCTAATGAATTCAAGTCCAGCATGGTCCATCTGATTCTAATATATTCTACCCATACTGCTTCCACTTCCACTGGAATTCCTCTGGACTCGACCTTTCCAACCTGAGAAGCGCGCCGATGGAATGCAGCTGGGTTCCTGGCCTTGGTGGCGCATGTGAAATCGTGGAGCTAGCAGAGGAATAGGATAACCCAAGGGCGCAAGGGAAGAGACGGACCCGTCTCGGGTGCAAAGTGGCAAGTTCCGACAACACCAAACAATAGCATTCAAAAGCGCCAACACATTTTAGCAGTGCCCAGCAAGCTCAGTCCGCAGCGCAAAACAGCCAAGACAGCAGGCCAAAATATCCAAAATTCATTTTGGCTTTTGACATCATGCAAAACGTCCGTTCAGGCTTTAGCTATGCGTGTACTAACTGAAGGAGTTTGCTTTCAATGTAATTTCCACTTCCAAAACTCTTATCAGGGGTGTCATTCAGATCTTGAGAAGGTTCAATTTTAGCCGATTTTGGTCTATCATGGCCTCTGAATCCGCTGCTGTTGAGTCATTATCTGTAAAGAACATGGGGATTCCTGCGACTCTCCCGCCCAATGGCAGTGGGCCACAGGGACACCCCCATCTGTAGCGCCTCCCATCTCAAGGAATGGGAAAACTGCAGCGGATTAGCGCTGCAGAGAGGAGGCAGCTAACATCTACGCCTATCCTACGAGTCCTACGAGGTTCAATCGGCGCTTGGATCCTCAGCTTAAGTAGTAAAGCAACCTGGGCAGCGCCAAAAGACCGCACCATTGGATATGAGGTGTCCACCTTCCATGAAGCAGGAACCAAATTGAAATAGGTTCATGTGGGATCCTGATTAGTATGAGGATCCGCTACTAGTACTGTCTAAAGTTTTTCCAAACTAATTCAGGCTCTGTGGAAATGATGGGGGGGTCGCTATTGTGTAAAGTTTTTTTGGTTGTATGTTTTCATTTTTTTATTTTTTTTTCATGTTTTTCTTTTTTTTTAATCAGTTTTTTTATTTCATGTTTTTCAATTTGTTTGATGTTTTTTTTGTTTTTAAATTATTTTTCAGTTTTTTCATTAACAATATTGATCCTAAATAATATGTTCGTTGTGGGGGTCCTCTATTGTGTCCAGCTGTTGTCTGAAGAAACATTTTTTTGAGGTTAATTATGACCCATCAGCAATAATTAATTAATTATAAAGGATGCCTTATTAAAACCCAATTTCAAAACAGCACTCAAACAATTTTTCAAGGGGGTAGTCCATGAGCAACCCCGATCCTCAATAGTATGTTTGTTGTGGGGGTCCTCTATTGTGTCCAGCTGTTGTCTGAGGTGAAAATGTTCAAAATCATTCTCTCCTTTCCTTTTCCGTTCCTTTGCCAATACTTTTCTCTTTTTTACTTTCTTAGACCCATTCTTTTGGAATTCTCAAAATGTCTATTTTCCCAAAATATAGGATGCCTTATTAAAACTCCATTAAAAAAAACAATCAAACAATTTTTTAAGGGGGTAGTCCATGAGCAACTCTGATCCTCAATTGTTTGTTGTGGTGATCCTCTATTGTGTCCAGCTGTTGTCTGAGGTGATTTTTTTCAACAATTCCTTTTACCTTTTTCCTTTGCTAAAGCTTTTTTCTTTTACTTGGCTCCATTCTTCTTGGAATCAAAATCAAAAGGTTTTTCCACAGGATGAACTTCAGCCAAAAATCAAATTAAAGAGGATCGATCCAAAAATTGTTTAGATAGGGGGGGGGGCGATACTACTCAGGAGCCAACATTAATTAAAACCGTGGGTAGCATGTGCTTTACTCCAGAATTCTCTCCCTAAGCCCTGTCTCTCACCAAGGTTATCTCCATCTTCATCTCAGTGGTTCTTAAAAAGGGGAACCAACAAAGTAAGAAAATCATAGAAAATCTGATAGCTTGGAGGTCTGAGATATATGAAACTAGCCACAAATTATAGCCCCGTCCGCGTCCACGGAGGCTCCGGGCCTTATCGCCAAGGCTGTCACCAGCGGTCGATGGCCGCGGGGCTGCGCATCGCTGACCGAGTCCTATGACAGCTGGGTTCATCACATCTGGAGCTGAATCCAGCCGCAGGCACTGTGGGACACGCGGAAGCGTTGCCATAAGAAGCCGGGCTTGGTCTGAAAAGGAAACACACCTTTTCAAATGGATCAAAATGAATCAAAATGGTTCAAAATGGCAGTTTTGAAGGGAACATGATGATAATGATAAATCCCATAGGATCCATGTATGGTATATATGCTAACATTGGGGGGTATATTGATGGTAAATGTTACCATATATAGCATACATGGATCCTATGGGAATGATAGGCTCTGTAGCCATTGGATCTTAGTGGCACCCCGAAAAAACACCCGCGGGAAGCCACTTCCTGGAAGACGCCGCTGAGTCCAGTCCACAAATTGTTGGCAGTGTCCGCAGCCCCTTCATACCTCGGAACGAACATGGACCGCTGAGCGGCTCAACAACAGACCCTCAAACAAAAGAAAACTTGATTGAAACCATTCACAAGTGGAAAAAACTGGAGAAGTATAATGGAAGCATAATCAATAAAGAAAATAAAGAATCCCGAACTCGAGGTTCTAAGCAGGTAGGCTTACAACCCCGAAAGTTGTGGCGACGAGCCCCAGTTGCTCTTGATATTTGTCTATGGTTTGCTCTGGAAATCCAACCTGCCGAAAAAAGTGGTGTGTCGGAAGTCGACCCATGAATCCCAGAAGGCCCTAATAAACTTACCTGAAACCCTGGTTGAGTAGTGAGTGGATCTGTTCATTTTAGGCTTTCACATATGTTCGTGGACGTTGTTGTGGATTGCGCATGGCGCTACATCATCAATTTAAATGGTTTCAGGACTCACAAGTGGTTTAGGGACTCAGTTTTGTAGGTTCTGCACCGTTTTTGACCAGTCAGGTGGGGACGAAGCTTGACAAACACGTTTGTCATCCCATGTTCTGTGTTTTTTTACCACCATATACCACCATTGTCCCATTATCATCCATTATCCATGTTCATTTTCCTGCTCAAAAGCCAAGGTGCCATGGGCTGGAGGACGGTGGCACCGGCTCGGCGGAGGGCAACTCTGCCGCAGGCACTACACCAAGGACTCAGTGGGCCCCATGGATCCCCATCAACCGCCGTGGATCCATGGAGTCTCCAATTTTCAAACGAACCCGGGCCGTGGGGGAAGGCATTTTGATGCCATTTTTGTTGATACCCACTATATGATCTGTATGCATGGATGCCATATGACTATATATATGACTGATGGCCTTCTGATTTGTTGTGTATTAAACCCCAAATGTGTTACATTATGGCCCTATTTCAAAAATAATCACTCTTTGTCTTCTTGATGACTTCAGCAAAGCGCTCAAGGCGAGTAGGGCAAATCCTTTCAAGGGTTTGGCGGTTTGACCCTATGACTTTTTACTCAACAGAGTCTGATTAATGTGGGTTTGACAATGCCTTGCTGGGATCGTTTCTGCATCCTTCCATCCCTTACATCCCTGATATCTGAGGTCGTTGTAAATTAACCAGATGTGATGATGTGATGCTGGTCCTAGATAGTCACAGGACATCCCCATTACTACTGTGATCTACTTAGATTATGTGATATTACAAATGCAGTCATATATGTCATAATACCAAAATCCCCTCTTTTATCGTTATTTATTCATATCTAGTTGAAATGTAACCGCAACCCATTCTTGGTTCAAAGGAGATCAGGACTTTTGAATGGAAATATCCACTATATTATAGAATCATATAGAATCTGAATTACCAGTGTTTGAAGCAATGGCACATTGGCAGCGCACATTGGGAAATGTTAATCCTGTCATGATGAGTCCCGGACTGGCGGCTCCTGCCATCTCTGGCTTAATCGACCTGAAGCGGGAGCTGGCGGATCAGTAGTGGCTCCTATACAAATCAAAGGTAGATGATTTTGACAAAAACACACAAAAAAAACGGTTCATCATTGTTATAGAATTAATTATTCAAGATCTTCAAGTATAATGAGACTATATCTATATTATCTATCTGAAGTATTATGAATTCATCTACCTGGGGGAATCCCAAGGTCCCAAAGGTCCCTTAAGGCCCCTTCAGGCCCCAGGCCGACAGCGAAGACGTTTGTTGTCGCAATAGCTGCGGCAATTCGTGAAGCACCATTTCTTGGAGTCCTGTCAATGCTGAGGTCGGCTTTGTGATGGATTTGTCCAGCAGGAATCAATGGGGACTCGCGTGAATCGCACTTTTCCCTTGTTATTTTGAAGCCAAAGATACCAAAAGAACACTTCGGTACTTGGGATCTCTTGGGAAAAATTGATTGATATTGATTGATGTGGAACTGTGTTCTGAAACAGTTTGCTCGCAATCAACTTTGTTGGGCTCCACTTGGAACCCCTTACCCTTCTGATACTGATAATCGAACCTGACAATGGACAATTCATGACAATTGAAATGTTCATTCAGAATTCTAGGTCATGTTTCCCCGACTTTCCCATGAATAGTTGCCAGGTTCGATTGTCAAAGGGCACGTGTTCACTGAGAGTTGCTGCCATCCTGGCACTCGACCCCGGTCACGACCTGAGCTTCCACAGGAAAGCCATGGAAAATCCAGTGGTTTTGTTTCGCCCTGAGCCAAAGAGCAATAATCATGAGACAAAAAAATCTAAGTCATTGCACAGGCACAGACACACACACACACACATGCGCGCACTCTCTCTCTCTCTCTATTTGCTTTTTTTTTCTCTCTCTCTCTCTCTCTGTATGTATATATATATGTGTGTTATATACAGTTGTGTATACATATTTTATAATTACATACATATATATATATAATTATATATAATTATATATAATCATATACATATAATATATATATTATATATATATATATTTATTTATTATTCAATTACATATTCACATATTCATTAGTTTGCGGTATCTATTTATTTTTGTTCAAACTATGTTTAATTTATCAACATTCATCTAGTGATCCATCTTTAGTAATCACCTGAGTGCCCAGACCTTTCCATCAGGGCAATCCATGCGACCCTGCTCTTCACTGAACCAGTCGGTCACTACCGGATCCTCCGTCATTTCCACCTGCCTTGGAGGATTTGGACGCTGCTATGGATGGCCATGGATGGGCATAGGTGTGAAAAGCACTGAGGTAGCTGCCACTGCAAAGGCTTCCCGCAATGCAGCCGCAAGTTGTCGCAATGCCTCACGAGTGAGTCACGGGCTGAGGGCTTGCTGATGGCTGCTGATGGCTGCTGGAATTGGTGACAAATGATGACACAAATATCCACATTTCCAACAATTCCAACAGATATCCAACAGATCGTAGCGGTCCCCGCCTGCCATCGCACTTCAGATAGCTCACTGCCATGCCATCGGGGCAATCCGCCGCCTGGATGGGTGAGATGGAGGTCTGATGGACCGCCGCAAACCAACCATCATATGGAAAATCATGAAAAATCCCACACATCTAAAGCGAACATCATGTATCAACCATGTATTTTCCGTAGCCATGTTTGATTGCCAAAGGGATCCTTTTTTTTCCCTTTTCCCAAGAATTCGGCAATTCCGGTGTCCATGATGCCAAGCAAAGACTCTGGCACGTGACCTAACTGGCTGACCAATATTGACCATGATCTCATCCTTGTTACACAAATGTGCAAAAATCAAACTCGTGCATCACATCATCCCTCTATAGTAATCCCCTTTTTTCATATCTGTCAAAGATTTCAACATATTTCAACCTGTTATGACTGTTTTGAGAGCCATATTCCAAATGGCTGCAGCTTCACCAGCTACATCCAGCTACATCCAGCTACTTCCAGAAGCTGCGCAACGTGTGGCCTGGTCTGAAGCCGCCGTCCCGCTGTTCCAAAACCAGCGGTGGCCGGTGTTGTCTGAGATCCAGTCCGACTTCCTGGAGTGGACAGGACATGTCCAGCTGAATGATGCACGAAGGGTGTCCAACTACACCCTGCCAATACTGAATATAATATACATGTTTTTTTAAAAAAAATTATATATATATAAATTATATATATACACTTATATGAATAAATATGAATATATAGGTGGTTTGTTGATGGTGGATGGTGTAATTTATCTTATTTTCCATCATTCTATCTGCTCCAGGATGAGCGAAATGGTAGACTTTTGCTGCCACGGTGTGCTGACTGCTTCCTTCTCATTAGTTTCAACGTGGCTAGCCGGGAAATCCCCTCCAATTGGAAGTCTTAATGGGAAAGTCAGCCATGCTTTTGGAGGATTTTCCGGCAAGCCATGTTTGATTACAGTAGGTCGTCAAATTTGCTTTCCTTGCTATCCTTGCTGCAGCTCCTCCAGAACTTCAGCGCACAACAAATTCCCACATGTTTACATGCAAGAAGAAACTGTCAAAAAGAACTCCCAACACTTCTTGGACAGCACTCTCCATTGAAACAAGGTAAAATTAAGTAACAAGACATTTACATGCTCCATCAGTTCCATCTTTATCTTTCCATCTTGTGTGCCGAAAACATACCCAAAAACAAGAGTGGTGATCCTTTACAAGCATCCCTGGATCTTTGAAGATCTTAGAAGGCCTCAACCATCCTCAACCTCCCTGATCCCATCAACCTCTCACTGCTCCGCACCAAGATGCTCTGCAGTGGCTGCATCCACGAAAACATTCATTTGTATCAGCCGGACATTGCCGCAGTAGTCGTCAGAACAGCCCATGCCAGTTGAGACCTGGACCCAGGACGTTGCGTGTCCAGAAAAGGCCAGAGCCAGGTATCAGCCTGTCATCAGCCTGTCATCAGTGACGTCATGTCTGAGGCCACGGCCAGATTCGTGGCAGTCATGGACTTGTCTTCATTGACCCAGTCCTCAGGTGAGCCATGCTGGAAACCTTGATAGATTCTTAGGTCGTAAGAACATGCTTACGCACATGCTTGCGCATCCTTACGCTATTGGGGGTTTCTCTTACGCGGGGATCTGGGCTTTCTATGGGCTTACGCAAGGCTTGCGCGAAAGTAAGTCACCACAAAATCATCTTTTTTCGTGAAACGTTCCTTACGCGGCCTTTTTTGCAACAGAGTATTTCAGTGCGTCATTCATCATTTGTCGAATCCGAAGATGAAGATGTTGAAGAAGAGGATGTTGAGGACGAGCCTGAACCGTCAGCTTTCAATGTTGCCTGTTGCCGTCGACGCTTTCGAGCCTGCTTGCTGAGAGTTCGGGCCTTGGCTGATAGTTTTTCTTCCAGTGATCTTTTTGGCGCTGGCATGGCATGGGATTTGAAAGACTTTGGAAGATGGACACCACTTGCGCGAGGATGCGGCTGCGCTGTTTCCATTGCAATTGCGAAAAAGGGCGGCGTTTCGGGGCCATGGGGCAACTGTTCAGATAAAGCAGGTGGGCCTTACGCGTTCCTTACGCATACCTTACGCGTTCCTTACGCGAAAAAACACAATCTTTTTTCAAAATTGGGAACCACCAATTAAGGTACATGGAAAAACATGCATATATCATATATCTGTATATATCTGTACATTAATTATCTGTTGTAAGCTTGTGTGTGCAATTCCAGTTGTTTCTTTTTTACAGCAGGTTTTTACAGCTCGGTTTCCCTTCCATTTGACTGTCATCAACGTGACCAAGCATATTGACCCTCATGTTTCTTTCATTCTTTAGCCAAAAGGTGCTTTTCAAGCATGCCTTACGCAGGCTTACGCACAACATTCAAAGCCAAAAACCTTGCGCAGCTCTTACGCCACTGCAGTTTTGGCTTACGCGAAGCCACCTTATGACCGTCCCCTTACTCACCAATACATAAAGAGTTTATAGCGCAGCTCAGGTGTAGCCACGATCACTTTGGATCCATGCGGGGTATGGGTCCAACATGGAACGTAGACCAGCCCTCACAGTGAAGAATTCCGATCATTGTGATTGTGGTCTTGAATTGATTCAATAAGTATTATATAAATCACCCCAACTGCGGTGAAAGATGGTAAAACATGTTTGAACATGGTTTTGATCCATCGGCTGCCTAGTCGCTGCTGCTACGAAGTAGACGCAACGGCCAACATCCCCACGACACATTGGGGTCAAGGATGAGTCCTGTGCAGCTAGGCCGCGCCCTTCTGCATGGATCTGCATGGTACCTATGTTTTTGTGACACACACCCACACACACACATACATATATTATATATCATACATATATATATATAGGTATACCATGGTATATGTATGGATAACATATGTCTACCCACCTCTCCTTCTCCATATTTCTCCATATTGATGTACGCTCTTTCCAAGGTCTACATCTCCGTGCCAACATCCCTCGGTTTTCCTCTGAGGAGCAGGTTCCGCAAGACCCGCCACAGCCATCATCGCCGCATTCCAAGCCCAAAATGTCACAGCTGGGGACACACTCGTCATCTGCGATGTAGGTCGCCTCAAAAGTCCGCAGAAAGGGTCCAATTTCAAGGGCCCAATTTTTCTCTCTCTCTCTCTCTCTGTCAATGCCTCTGTTTCAACTGCAAAGCCATGACCAAAGACACGATTCTAATCTACAGTATGAAAAATACAAAACGTGGATAGGGCACAAACGACTTGGAAACAACAGACTCACGAAACATCCCCATAATATACAATCTTAATCAATTTTATGCCTTGTTTGGGTCACGATGCCTATAGCCCCATTTCCGCTGTCTCTTGCGAGCCAGTTTGTCACCACATCTTTCCGACTTAGGATCAAACTTTAAATTCTACAGCTTGGCCCTCTACGCGACTCAGTAGAGCCACATGTGTTCTTAGGGCCAAGCACACACAAGCTTTTTGGTCATACAGTTCGCTCCACCACAGTAGACGCCTGAGCCAACTAGCCATTTGAGGGTCACGTGATGCATTTAGTGAAGCCATTCCATGTCATTGTCAGCTCTGGATTAATACAGGGTGTAATTCGTTTCTGAGATGGTGCAAAAATTAGTGCAAGATATCAGCTGACCAACGAAGACTTTGGCGTTGGGCTCAGCGCACTTGCTGGAAAACCATGCGCAATTTTCTGAGGCTGGCACCAACCACAACATCATCCCCGTGGCAGTAACTGTCCTTTTGGACACGACGCTCAACGCTCGCTAAACGCTCAAAATAAATGTCATTCTGCTCGCTACCCATTGAAATCTAAACACAGCCAGTGTGGCGGTTCATGCCAATAATTGAATGCACCGGCACTAGTTCAAGTTCATCAAATCAAAGTCCTCCGTCCCATGCAGTTCGCTAGGAAACCAAAGCCGTTCCAAAAGGTCAAGGCTCACGCGACCTGCCGTGGAAGGAATGACAAAGCTACTAAGTGATCTCCAAGTGACAAAAAATCTGAGACACTACTCGCCATCATTAATACTAGTAATAATAATAATAGTAATAATAATAAAAATAATAATAATAATATATAATAATATTATATAATATTAATAATAATTGATAATCATCATCAATAATCATCATCAAGCCATCATAGTGTTTCAACTCCTGGAATTTTTGCCATCATGGTAGTAGCATCAAATCTAAAAACAGCCACAGCAAGGCGGCCGGCCAGCGGCCTGCCAGTGGAGTGGCGCAGTGCAAACGGATGGAACTGCAACTGCTGCCGATGCAAGTGACCTGCGTACAGCGGACAGCGGACAAGACAAACGGCACGTGCCCACAGTCCGATGGGAGATTTAGAACAGTTGTTATCAGAATTGGCAAACTAGAATCGCTTGAATACATGTGAATACTGTATGTATATATATATATAGTTATACAGGCAAACACTTCTAGGCGGCTGCACCAAATCCAGACAGAAAAAGCGGCAACAATGAAAACAAGTTTGAGACAAATGCTTGGACTGAATTGTTCTTGCGAATCTGCAGGATGTGATCCAAGCAGCCGTCATCAGCGCCCCCGAATAGATTCAAAACAATGGCCCTTTTCCATTCATTGTTTCAGCACGCATGTTCGCTCATTGGCTCATGGTGAGACTTTGCTGCTGTGGGCCCAATGCTGCACCATACATGTTGTGGCCAATCTGAACCCCCTGTGCCGCAAAAACGACTTTGATCTTTCGCTGGGCACTTAACTATGTTCAATTCTACATTCTACATATTCTACTTCCCAACTGATCTCATTTTTACACCATTTGGGAAGAGAACACATTCTGATTTGAGATCGACTCCAGTTCTTGGCTTGGCATCGGAAACCCAGCCGTGGCCGTGGCCAGTCAATCGATGAGGTTGGGACTTCTCGGATGGGCATAGCTACGGGACAGCTGTACCATGGAACTGGTTGAAGCGGAAGTGAAAAGATGTGAAAAGCATTGACTCATTTGTGCAGCTAAACAGGGCCCGAGAGTCTGCTCGTCTTTCTCTGTTGAGGACCATTTGAGTGCAATTCTATGCAATTTTTGAACACCAACAGCCCAACAACATCTGTCCCGAAATGTCCAGAAGCAATGCCAAGTCCCTCTATGCGAAATTCTGCGGTGCACCCTGATTATAGTAGCCAGGTGGTGCTCCTTGATAGCCCTGGTTCCAGCCCTGGTTCCATCCAGCTGGTGGCCCTTGGGTCCCCTGTTGGTGCAGATTCTGCTGCGTCATCTCCATCGATTGCGGGGCGTCCCTCAACTCATGGGGACGGTCCGAGCGCATGAAGCCCGCGCCGTACTTCCACCCAAGGAACGCGCCACCAACCAACAGCACGGCGACGCTGAAGACGATCAGAAAGACTTGCCACGACTCCATGCCCTCCTTCCTGGATCGCGACTGAAGTGGATTTTTTGTGAATGGTGATCAGTGATGATGTATGGTGACTGAAGCGGAAGATGCTGGTGGCTCAGTGTGTATTGTCATGAGGAGCCTATGGAACTTGGATAAAATACAGGCGGAGGAAACAGTTTATTCAAAAATACGTCGGCGGCATAATATATATATATATTTATTTATTTAATTATATTTATTTATTTACGTATTTATTTATAGAGTGTGTGTGAGTGTATATAAATGATTATAAATGTATATCTTGTAGGTGTGCATATACAGTATATAATATATACACTGTTGGAGTTGCAAAGGCTCTGAAAACAAACGAAACACAATCATAATTAAGTATAAGCAACATAGATCAATGCATCACCACACCGAGTCTCTTGTCTGTAAGGCACACTTGCCCGGCAAACTCCATCATCTGTGCGGAGAATTTCTTCGGAGATGTGGAAGTCCAAGTCTTGTCCTTAAAGTAATCGACGATGGCCTCAAGCAAGAGGACAAGTGAACATCACAGCCGGGTGGGTATGAGCAGTGAAATTTATTATATATACGTATATATATATATATATGAATATGAATATGAAAATATGATTTTGCAGATAACAAATCTACAAAGCAGAGTACCAAACGCTGCAACTTTGGTCATCTGTGTTTTTCACGATCCAATCTTAGGCCGAGCCACGGGCAAACAACTGTTTGCCCTGGAGCTTGTATTTGAGGAAAAAAAACTGCAAGTCAATGATCATTGTCCCATATTTTCCTCATGCTGAATTTTCTTGGGGGTATACAGCATACATCGGCATACCCCATTTGCAGGCAAACTCCAATCTGCCAATCATTAATCATCTCCAGCAATATCTGCAGACTGGTGGCCAGGGTGGTGGTATCCTCCAGACAAGCGTTGCAAAGGGGCACCTTTGGTAAACCTGAACAGCCAACGGAGTTACCTGCCACCTCTACGAAAAGGCTGTACTCGGTGAGATCGTGACTTTCCAGCCAGGAAAGGTCCGGCTGCAAATATTTCAGGAAATTTTTGCACTGCCAATTTCGCAGGCGCAGCTCATTCTGCTGCTGTTCCTGAGTGTGAACAAAAACGCCATCAAAAACAGCGATTGGTTTATTTAGTAACCGACCACAAAAAGGAAGCACAAGACATCAACAAACAAAAGAGTATGGGTCAAAATTGGAAACCCCCATAAGATCCGATGGTTTATATTAGACGCGTACTAAAATCTGTGGCCCCTTCTGGGGCCCTTCTGTTTTGACCCATGCCGTTCGATTCATCGAAGTCACGGTAAAGTCTCCATTGATCCCAACGTAGGGATTGATGGACTTCTTGGTCCTGATACAACAAGCACCCGACTGATCCACTGGACATATCCGGATAGCAACCCCCTTGGCAACCGAGCTTCATGGCACCCTCAACTACATTTGGTGTGATTACATCTGCGTCGATACCTAGTTTATCTATCCATGAATCTATCTTATCTAGCCAATCGGTCTTATCTAGTTTATCGAAGAAATTTGAAGTCTCAAATCGATCTTTCCTATATATGTTCTTATATAATCCCATGTAATCGATTCAAATCAATCTATACCTAGAAACTCCTAGAAAGAAAGTGAAAGAAATAGTGAGTTAGTCAAGGCATGTTATAGCCCAGTTCCAAGCCATTTCCTATCATCACTCCCTTCCTCACTGCTCCAAGCGTCTGCTTCCGTGACTTTCCCTTCAAGTCATAGCGCTGCACCACCCCCTCGGCCGGCACCTTCTCAGGGCTAATCTTCCGTTCGAGGCCATGGTTTTCATTGGCCAAGACTAGGACATAGACATCTTTTTTTTTCAGGATCTTGATCCTGACTGGCTGACTGGACGACTGGATCATGGAAAAAAATAAAACATGATTTTAAATATGTTAAGTACATTCAGAATTGTAAACATCCGGACGCTGCCGGGGTTTTACTTCAAAATTTATTTGGGTTGAAATCTTCACCAAATTGATCGGAGGTTCCTGCATATTTCAAACCAATTCTGGGAGGGTTCTGACTGGGAAAAAGATGCCGACCATGCTCCGAAGCTAAAGAAACTGTGCTAAATGATGGGCGATGATGGAAGGAGTGCGGCTGATGAAGAATGAAGAATCAAATGAATCAATATCATAAAAGTACGATATAAAAAGGTGCAGCTGAAGCAAATGGCGGTGTCTGAACCAAGCTGAAGACCCTTTGCAGCAACGAATACGGGTTGGATCTCAAATGATCCTCAGGGCTCACTTGGCAGAAGGGAGTTACTGTAGGTTGGATTAATAGAAACATCCTCTGTAGTCTATAGATCATTATAGATCTATATGATATCCGAGAACCAATTAAATAAACAATATTTTTAGTCGCCCCCGAAGTGATCCTTCAGTGGTATAGCTTCCTTGTCGCCTCTCACCATCTTCTCCAGGTTGGATTTTTCTTCGAAGCCCATGAGTAGACTGTACTTGAAGTCCCAGGTCGTCAGAAACAACGCCTCCTTCTTCAGGTCAGAGGGTCGCAAAGGCCCCCTAGGCAGGATAAACACCCGCCGGCACTGGTAAAGTGCCATCATCAACATATACCCTCTGGTTATGACTAACATAGCCATGGTATAGATGGCCCATTTATAGATGGTATATAGATGGTTTACCTATTAAAAATGGTGATGTTCCATGGATGGTATCAATATCATGAAAATCATGAAACATCATGAGCGATCATGTACTGAGACCAAATGAAACTGACAACACGTGGCCATTCAACTCGTTTTCTCACTAAACATGTGGATTTCAAGTGACAACACGTGATCCACCATAGTTGCTGACAACAGCTCCAACCTTCGGGAAGGTTGATTCTCATCATATCTCATCATCAACATTTGCTTGTAAACATGTGTAAACTCTTTGTTTCCCTATTGAAAATCACAACATATCACACATGTTGCATGATTTTGGCGTATTTGAAGGAACCACCATTCCCTCTCCATAAAATTCTACCATTTACCAACTTTTAGTCCTCTTAGGCAAATCTTTGAACTAAATGGGCCATGGGCAGAGCCCGAGATATGCGTGTTTTGATTCGATGGGAACATGTGAAGAAAAACAAAAACCTTAGGTTTTTGATGGTTGCCCCAGATTTCATGGGAAAAACCATGGAAAAACAATGGAAAAACCATGGAAAAAACATGTTTTTCTTCTCCTGCCTTTGCAACGAGTCCTTCAGGTCATTGGAATAGTCCGAAGGAACATCCCCTCCTGGAGATCGATGAGCAAAATTCACACAGGCTGACGCTGGAAATCTGAGACTCCTTGAAGACATTAAATATCAGGTAATACCAATATCATTGAATCTCGAGATTAATACTTATGTAATGTGTATATATATATATATGATTATATATGTGTGTATGTGTGATTTATATAATTTAAACATACTAATTATATCATTTATTATCTTGGGATAGTGTACTATTATTTAGCTGAATCCCAAAAGCCTCCAGGGCTTCTGTCTATAAGAGCTGACGAGGGGGTACGTATACATATCCTAAGTGGCCGCGCATGCAAAACATATGTAAAACTCATATGAAACATAGATTTTTACGTTGGTGGAACGTATGTGATGCGTATGTGAAGCGTATGTGCAGCGCAAGTGAAAACATATGTGAGCCGTATGTGAAATATATGTGAAACATATGCGAAATACATGTGACATATTAACGTATTTTGGGACTGGATTGCGTTGTGTTTATGTTTTACTTATGTATACGTTTGCGAATTTTTGTGTTCTTTTTATGCCGGAGGAAAAATAAGACCTTATTTTGTGCAAATCACGCAAAATAAGGCCTTATTTTGGAACGCACGTAAAGAAAACATAAACAAAACGCACACGAGAACGCAAACACATTTTGTAACGTTTGTGCTTGTACATGTGTATATGGTTTATGTTTTATTTATGTCGGGAGAAAAATAGACCTTATTTTGGGCAAATAAGGCCTTATTTTATCGCTTACGTAAAAGAAACGCAAACAGAAACATAAAGAAAACAGCTAGTAGCCGCAATTTCTAGATATGTCGGGAATATGCGTTTTGTTTGCGTATTTGAAGCCGTTTATGTATGCGTATGCGCAGGCCAGTCCAAGACGGGCTCTATTGTGAAAGCCTTTGAAACCCTGCTAAACTATTATTTACTTATCGTTTCTTCCACAAAGGACAATGCAGCTTTGGCTGAAGATGCTGAAGCGCTTGGTCAATTCCGGGTCCATCTTCAACCCAAAATCAAAGATTTAAATGGTGGATTTTCTTAGAAATTGTGAATATTTCTGGTGAATTCCAGTCAAATGATGATTTTCTCCGATTCATCATTGGTTTTCTTATGTTCCAAATGGTATTCACTGAGGACTGAGGACTGATCCATTGATTTCCACACTGTTCTCATCCCCACATCTCCTTGACTTGCGTATGAGGAATATGCCTTCCGCAGCTGCGAAAAGTCGTACTCCCCATACGTCTTCACCTTGGACGTTTGGTTCTCCAAAAATAGGCCATGGCATGCCATGGCCATGGCGAAGAAAGTACCCAGATCATCTCAAAGATTCCGAATTATCCATGGTTTATTCACGGTTTGCTGGCCACTGCATAAAAAAAATTGACCCAAATGGTCGTATTTTTAGCCTCCCATACCCATCCATATCCATCCATATCCATCCATATCCATCATATATCTTTAAAGGTCGCGCAGCCAGGATGCCTCGCAGTATTCTTTCGGGAAGAATTGTTTGTACACCGCGCAGAAGTTGGTCTCCCGCTCCGTGGCCTCCCATCCCTCCGACAACGCACGTGCTTTGACAAGCTGCTCTGCACCTGGGAATGATCCGAGAATCCGATGGAGCAATATCGGCTTTAAACAGGTAAACCACTGATCAAATGATCAAACCTCTCAATTTCATTCAATATCAATTGATTAGGTTCCTTGGATTTTGGAAGTCGCAGCAAGAAAGAACAAACATATGAGTTTCGGCTTAGCAGGCTAAACATTGCCAAACTACACCAAACTTCAAAAAGCCTGCTGTCAAGAAGCTGTTGTTGAGCATGAAATTCATAAAGCTGCTCCCAGTGCTCAAACTGGCCACCACCGCTTCACGAATGAGTGCAGAGGCGCAAGAGAAGTCAGAGAGCTCTCCATCGCCCCAGTCGACGGCGCGTGGATCCTCAGATTTTCCCCTCAATTCTGCCATGGATTGGGATGGACTTGGTTTCAACATGTTTCAACTATAATCCCGTCCTCCAAGACACCACCAAAAAAACACATCCCGGTTTTCTGAATGCATATATGTTTATTATGTTTCTCTCTCTCATCAGCAGTCAAGCTGAAGGCGAGCTAAAACGGCAACTTGGCAGGATGTTGTATATTCATGTATATTCTATTTTATTATCTTGGGGAACGGAGTGTTAGTGCATTGCCCTTTCACCTATTTACATGAAACTCCTGCACCTTGAGAACTTGAAATCTGACTAGTCGATCAACTATGGTACATCATAAATCATCACAATGCCCTGATAATTCCATCATCATATTTGCATATATTTGCGATATTTCATTGCAACATTCTACAACATTCTACAACGCTTTACCCTTTGGTACCTGGCGAAAGAACATATACACAAATCAATTACCCCCTAATATTGAAAATTCCTTCAGCTGTTTAGGGGGCTTTTTTTCTTGTGGGATTTTGTACACCTCATCTTTTCTGAGGGTCAGGATCAGGCCACATCTGCCATCTTTCCACACGGCCCTGCAAACAGCGCATCAAATCACCGTTGGCACCCGAGGCAGACAGGCCCTTTCCTGGGGCCCACGGATGCCCACCGAGCCGCGGAGTCCGTATGGGACCGGTATGGGATCGGTGGATGATCTATGGATCTATGCCCTGATATCAACCAGAATTGGTGGATCTATGGTCAGACTGTTGATATCAATTCTGGTTGATCTGATGGGCCACCTGATGGGCATCATTACATATCATTACCATTTCCAATGGTGCTGAAAAAAGCGTTGTGGCGGTATATCAATAAATGTATCTCAATCCCTAGCCTGCAGACTCTCCATAGAGGCACTGATCCCACAGATTTTGCTGAAGAGATTCTACAGCCTAAATAGCAGTGGTTCTGAGGTTACATGAGCAAGGTCCCTCCAAGCAAGTCAGCACACCATCTGGTGAGGCAGCAAAGTGGGGACCCCCATGGACCCCCCAATCCACTATTTCAAATCTATTTCATAGTTGCGCTTTAGAACGAGGAATAAACCACGTGACGGATTCTGTTGTGATATTCTTAGGCACACATCGCGCGCAGTCCTACGATTCTTGTTGAATTATCTTGAATTGTATTCACACTTTGTTGCTTTGCTGGCCATGAATGATTGTTGGTGAAATCCGGGTGTTTGCTGGCAAAGTCAACGCTTTTTCCTTCAACTCACCATTGCTCTTGACGTACTTTACGTTGATTGTATCCTTTGCAATGATAGGGCCCTACCAAAAGATGATGGGCCAATTCCAAAGCACTGCTGCAGGACTTGGTTTGGCCACAAAGTACAAGTACATTTTGCCAATAATTACCCACTTTTGATTGCATTTAGAAATGGAAAATCACCTTAAGGTGACACTGTGACTCCTAGATTTGTTGCTGCGGAGCCAGTCATTGTATCTCTGATAGGCCCACAGTTCAAGTTTGTATACCCATTTTAGGTGGCAAAACTAATCCCAACTAATCCTCCTGTGAAATCTGTCCCCCCAGGGGATTTACCCTCTGGTAAACTAACATAGCTACTGAAAATGGCCATAGAAATAGTGAGTTGTCCCATTAAAAATGGTGGATCTTTCCATAGTTATGTGGCAGTTTACCATAGAAATAGTGAGTTTTCCCATTAAAAATGGTGGATCTTTCCATAGTTTTGTAAACGTTTACCAGAGGGATTTCCCCTGTTTTTGTCGCCATGGTTCCATAGTTCGACTCTAAGAGGGTCATCCATTCCGTGGGTGGCGCACCGCAGCCGTTGCCGGATTCCACGGGCTTGAAATCGTTCTTGTTCATGCAGGAGCTATCACCTCAACAATGGGGATATCAATGGATTGGTTTAAAGGAAAATCTACAGGAAACCATGGTTTTTACCATCAAATTATAGGGCTTTCCGGTTAAAATGTTCCCATCATCCAATTCTATGAGGGATACGATGGGGGTGCCGGGGTGACTAATGGGTATTCCCATGACGGATCCATGGTGCTGGTATATATGTTAACATGAAGGGGGTATATTGATGGGATCCATGGAGCACCATACATAGCAGCACCATGGATCCTATGGGATTGATGGGATGTTAAACTTAAACCAAACCGATTTTCATGACAACAAAAACTGGAAAGATAGTTAAGGAAGATAGTTGGAGGTATATATTATATATCTTACAATGGGGTATTACGGTATTACCTTGCAAAACTCTTGAACAACAAGGCATCCAAAAATACCATCTGAGGATCAACCAAGATCAACCAGTGGATTTATTTCTGAAAGGCTGACGGGTTGGATTGCTGATGTTTCGAAGTATGGAATCCATCTGTGTACTGTGTACAGCAACAACGGCATCATGAGTTCAACCATTGTATCTTTATGTGCTACATATACACTATATATATTATTATATATATATGTGTGTGTTAACTAACCATTAAGGCATTAAGCACCTGTATATTCTATACACGTACGCCGCACACATGCGGATATCCATTCTGACAACGATCGGCACGCATGGCGATAAACAACCACAAGCCATGGCGGATCAGGCACGACCGCTGAACCAGGAGGATGGATGCGCGCAGCTCTGGCTGAATGGACACCACCGGCAGTTTGCTGATACACAAGTCTTGCAGACATCTTCGGAGTGTTTTTGATCGAAGGGTGGGGACAGGGCATATGGCCCGGGGCCACATCCCTCTTCAGCCAGTCCCAATGGAAGCAGAGCAGCAAGCGCAGCAAGCAACTGCCACATCGCGGGGATCCGGGACGTCGCCAAGCGTTGTGCTGGTTGCGTTTGAGCGAAGGGGTACAAGAACTAATCATAACTAATCATAATCAATTGAGAGCCAGTAGCTGGGGAAAGTAGCCGGACTCTCACAACTCACAAGGTAGATTTGATCTCGCGGTAGGCTGACTGTGTGATCAAGCGGAAGACGTTTGCGAAGCTGAGTTATGCACCACAGGTCGCAGGCTGGAGCCAAAAGTCCACCAGCACATCGAGTTTCAAACCACCCTCGAGGTGCATCACATGATATATACTGTGGATGGAAGAAATCCTGCACCACCAAAAGGATGGTTGAAAACCTATAAATAGTGGGATGTTTACCACCGTTTTCAACTGGTGCAGGATTTCGCTGGCCCATCCACCGTATTACCTGACAGGTAGCTTACAGATCTCCTGCCTGGGTTGCTACTTGACCAGACTGGCACATCAAATCACCCACGTCCGCGTCCAACTGATGAATGGTCACCTGACGCTGTCATCCCAGGCCAGGAAACCCTGTCACTCCATGCCCGGAAACCACAACAAAAGGGTGGAAGTGAAATGCTATGAATCGAAAACTGATGAAATTTCCGAGAAAATCACTATAAATAATAAATCACACCAATGATTGGCAGTTGCCACTTTGACATGTTCACTTTGTGTTGGGCAACCATATCTTCAACCGTGGTATACAGTACCCAATCTTCACAGTCCCCAGCTTCATTTGGGAACAGTATCCATTTCTCTCTCCATCGCTCTCTGACTTTAGACATTTCTTGCAACATCCATATCTAATCCATATCAAATCCATATCTATTCATAGCTTGAATGTTTAAGCATAATTTTGCCCATGTTTTCTTTACCACTCCTTTCCATGTTTGACATCGTTCAACGGCCCACGGATCGCTTTCTTAGGGCTGGACACTCTGGCTGCTGAGCTGCACATCAGCTCGGTGGCTCAGCCTGACCATGACCATTTTTTCAGGGCATTGAAATGGGAAATTCGTCCAACGAAATGTTGGGTTCTGAATTGCATTGTATGATATATTGTATGTGTGTATATGGTAAATATAGTATATATATATACATATGTATAATATATATTATACATGTGTTACACAATGTTATACATATATGTATGTGGGTAAATGTATGTGTATAAATATAATAATAAAAATAATAACAATAATAATGCTAATGCATGATATACATTGATATACATATCCCGCCAAAATCGTTCCTCTCCAAATCCTCCAGTGGACTCCAGAATGGTTTATCATGCAACGTTCAGAGGGAAAACCCTGTCTTGGTGCTCCTGGAAGTCCAAACCAAACAACCAGAAATGGCCATTGTCGTTTCTCTTTACTAGTGAAGAATCCTTGCATTAGACTCATTAGACATGGCTGGAACTGGGGAAACCACCATAAGCGCGGTTATTTGGGGACCCCTTTACTTACCATCATTCCAGTGACGTCAATGAGGTTGTTGTACTTTATCCAAACATATTCCCATATAATCCCATTGCATCCCATACAATCTTATTACAATATATTATAATCATTATAATCCCATTAAACCATCATATAATATCATATAATCATATATAATCCCATAACTCCCATGTATTTGGGGCGACATGTTGCAGACTTCCGCAGTCTGAAGGCGCCTGATGGAGCCACAAAACTCGCCAGAACAGCCAAGTCCCACCAGGCCGGTACCAGGTGCAACACCTTTGGAGCCCGTTTCGTCACTGAAATAGGCCGACCTGCTCCAGCGGTGTTTTTTTGGGTGCCTGGGGGGCAGATTTGGGAGCATTCTGTTGATGGAAGAAATCCTGCACCACCAAAAGGATGGTTGAAAACCTATAAATAATGGGATAAACCACCTATATCAACTGGTGCAGGATTTATTCCATCAACAGATTTCACTGCCAAATTTTGTTGGGGACAATCAGAATGAACCAGTGAATTTAGGACTGCCAATTTGTTTGAACCCAAAAAAGGTACCAAATAAGGCTATCCCTCCAAGGGCGGAACCAAGGACCACCAGGGTTTTCCAAGGTTGTTGTTGTACCAGTGCCCGGGGTAGACGTGGTAGCAGTAAATGAAATACCTGCTCCGGGCATAGCAGGGAAGCAGAAATAGCATGGAATAGCGCCATTTCCATGCCTTTCCTCTAGTTCAGTTCCTTGTCTGGTGACATGGTTTACAAATGTTTTACCGTGATTTTAGCTTCGGCAGGTCTCTGCAATCCCATGTCAGCAAGCCTCCAGTGGTGGAGTCAGCTGTGGTGGAGTCAGCTGTGGTGGTCGTTTTGGTACTGGTCGTTGCCGTGGTTTCCACAATAACTTCGCTGCAAGGAGTCAAGTCGGCCTCTGCGGTGGAACTACCTGCGGTAGGAGACAAGTGGCATGCAAGCCAGCTGTCCCCAATTGATGCCCCGTAACAGATATGAATGTATGCCTGCATATTTTTATTATATATCTATACGTGTGTGTGTGTGTGTGAAGGCATGGGCGTGTGTGATTTATATTGCTCCTTATTGGCTCAATGCGTATCTGCCCACGCAAAACAATAAAACCAACAGAAAACAAAACCACACAGCCACAAAACGGGGCCGGAGCAAAAGCAGCCAACATTAAACAGCTACCAATGGAATTGATGGGGAACGAGTCCATCACTGCTGAAATAAGCAGCATGCAAAAAATGACGATTAAAATAAAATTGGACAAAAAAAAAAATAGCAGACCGCGATCAAAAAGGCTTGCAAAACACATCAAAACACCAAAATCTACGCGCTGCTCAGCATCCTCTTCTCTGGAAAGACTTCTTGCAGAGAGATCTCTTTACGAGTCTTGCCAAGAGACTTCTTACCAAGATCGTAACATTCATTTAGAGTAATTAATCAAAAAGGGGGCCCGGCTCTGAAGAACTTATGAACTTGAGATGGGGAACGCGAAAGGTAGGTGATCAAGAAGGGGAAGCAAAGCCTCTCCGTGTAAAAGTTGGCTGTGTGTAAAAGCGTGCTGTGTGCAGAAGCTTCTGTGTGTAAAAGTTTTTCTGTGTAAAGGGATCAGTGGGTAAAAAGGCCTGTGTAAAAACTGCTGGGCATAAAGACTTCTGTGCGTAAATACCGTAAATGCTTCTGTGCGGAAAAGTTTCTGTGCCTAAAAGCTGCTCTGGGTAAAGTTTCTGCGCGTAAGAGTTTCGGGGTGTAAAAACTTCTTTGTGCAGCCTGTGTGGGCAATTTTTCTGCATCACAGTTTTCCTGTGTAAGAGTTTCTTTGTGTAAAAGTTGTTCTGTGCAAAGGTTTCTCTGTGTAAAAAGTTCTGTGTGTAAAAGCGCCTGTGTGCCTTTATTTATGCGTGTAAATGCATCTTTGCGCAAAGCATCGGTGTATGTAAAAACTTTCGGTGTGTAAAACTTCTTTGCGTAAAAACCTCAAAGGCCTCTGCGTGTAAAAGTTTATCTGTGCACAAACCTCTCTGATCCCCCTTTGAATTATTAAGCAAAAGTGTTGGTGTGAGCAATTTTATAGTGATAAACCTGGAAACGTTAACCCTCTTTCTGAAAATACTATAGAATCAGAGACCCCAAGGTATGTTCAAGTTGACAATCTCAATAGAATTGCTGACACTGAGGTTGTTTATGAGCGTCATTTTCTATAGAATAGCTGCTGCCAAGTCACTCTTGTAAAGCCTTTTTTAGGTTGGGGGGGTTAGTTGGCTTTCTATAAAATCAGATGCCCCAACTCCTTCATCTGACAGCTGACCCCAAGTTTATAGAGCTCTCTTGCTCCAAGTGTTCAGTGGCAACCTCTTCGATTTTATAGACTACTGTAGTGAAAAATGTTTGAAAGTCACTCTGTTTCATTCTGTTTCCATCCGTTTCCCTTTTTCATTCTGTCCCCAAGACTCTCAGCTGATTAGTACTCAGTGCTGTATTCAACATGAAATCTGTATAGAATCGCTGACGCCAAGGTCCTCTATAAAATTGCAAACGTTGACACTGGGTAGGTACCCCTAAACAGAGCAGGGAGTTAAAACGCACCATTTTCCCCAGCTTAACCGTTGCGACTTTGTAGAGGAAATTCCAAGGGGGATCCTCTCTGTGTAAGAGTATCTGCGCATAACAACTGCTCTGTGTAAAGGTTTCTGTGCGTAACGTCGTCTGTTTGTAGAAACGTATTGGTGCAAAATGCGTCACAGCAAAATCGCAGAAAACAATGAAACAAAAGAATCCAAACTCAAATGTTTGCTCTCGTTACGTTGTTGATGATGTCGGTGATGCGCGCAGGGCCCCACAAGGGGTCATTTTGGCTGTCAGTGTTAAGCCAATTTAAAAAAAACCATCGGGACAAAAAACACCGCAAATTTCCATGTTTTTTTGAGCCTCACAGGCCAAAAACGACGGTACTGTTGTTGTTGTTGTTGTCGGTTGTCGGTTGTCGGTTGTCGGTTGTCGGTTGTCGGTTGTCGGTTGTCGGTTGTCTGTTGTCTGTTGTCTGTTGTCTGTTGTCTGTTGTCTGTTGTTGTTGTCGTTGTTGTTGTTGTTGTTGTTGTTGCCCCTGCAGCTTTTTCTCAGTCTCGTAGTGGCCGAAAATCGTCAAATTGGTTGTGCTTTCGCGTTTTTTTGAGACTCTCGGAGCAAAAAAAACACCGTAAATACGGATGTTGTTTGCGCCTCGGAAGCCCAAAACCACGGTTACAATGTTTTTTGCTTCTGGTAGCAAAATCCACAGTATTTACAGTGTTTGTTGGACAGCACCGAGCAAAACTCTGGTATTTGCGCAGTTTTCGGCATGTTGCAAGCAAAAGTCACAAAACCAATGTAAATTACAGTGTTTTGGGTTTGATTTTAGGGTTTGTGACGGGGTGGGAGGGGGGTTGTCTAAATGAACAGCAACTCCTCCTGAATAATCATGAATAATCAGGTAACTGGGCTGGCCAGTCTCCCCTTTACTTCGTAAAGCAAAACTCAAGGTAGCA